CCCCCCCGCACCCTCTTGTAGGAACAGATGCGAAGCAGTTCTCTTGTCTGAGCGGGTTCTGTCGAACGCCCGCTTGAGAGGGTCCGTGGGTGGCTCACCCCCCCACTTAACTGCAGGGGGAGCGAAGGGGGGCCTGCTGTGCTCAGGGCGGCTGATCCGACACTGGCCCTGAGGGTGCACGGCCTTCCCAGCAGCCAGAAGGGGGTTGTTTGCAGAAATGGAATTGGACTCATAACAGATTTGCCTCAGAATTCATGTGTGCGTGAATGCGATTGTGCGGCTCTGTGCGTGTGGCTGTGCGTGTGCGTGAAAGCTTGTGCGTGTCTCTGCATGCGTGTGTGCGCATGTGCATGGGCAAGTGCGAGTGTGTGTTGTCTCCTTGTTGAGACTGTAGGTTCTTGGAGGACCGGCTGCTCTGTGTCCACACCCGGCACATGATTTTTTCTGTGCATCGGGCATAAAACAAATAAATGAACTAACGGGTGAAAGCCGACAGCCCCAGGCTAACGTGTACCCGCTCCTGCTCCCTGCAGGGTCCCCTCTCCTGATCTGTGTCATCTCCATCTCGTGTGCCATGGACAGTTACGGAACCACTAACAAGTAAGTTGGGCCCTGCCTCCCAGGTGCTGCATCGGCAAGACCCCCGGGAACAGGGCTCCACGAGGGGTCCCCAGGGCCTCTGAGGCAGGGTCTGTATGAGGCTGCCCCCCCACCCTGGCCCTGCACTGAGAAAGTCCAGACAGAGAGAGGAACAGCCCTGCTGTGCCCTGGGCACGTTCCCACCGGGACACCAGCAACGGGGCTGTCAGAGGGCGTCAGGGTGAGGAGGTGGCTGGTAGAGGGTTCCGATGGGAACTGTTTCATCCACGTGGTCCTCCCAGACACGTGGTCGTCCGTGGAACCTGAGTGGTCACCACCTCCAGTGATTTTTCCAACAGCAGCCGATGGGCTGTAGTGGAACCAAGCTGAGGAAGGGACTGCCGTGGACCAGGCCAGGGGTTCAGGTTCCAGAAATGATTTCCTCTCCGTACAAGAGAAGGGGCTTTAGCTCGGACGTCCTCAGGAAGCCGGCCCTCCTGGCCGAACCGAGGAGCCATGGAGTGAGACCGGGAGAGGGAAGCGGCTGGACACTGTTTGAGAAGAGAAAGGAAGTTAAATTCGTTACAGCTTCAGGACGAGGTGACTTTTCAGCTCAGTGGCTGCACCAGGCGGAGTCTGGCCTTTTGCACTTCTGGGCATCGATGTTCTGGAGAGAAGCGTGGAGAGGAATCCTGGTGTGAGCGCACGTGGAGGCGAAGGGTTAGGCAGCCGTGGCTCCGGCCTCTTGCTTTCAACCGAAGGCCCCGCATCCGAGTTGAGGCTTCTCTGGAAGCCAGGGCCGTTGCTGGGACCCGCTGGGACGTTTTCTCCCGACTGGGAGGCACGGCTGGAAGTGCGGCTGACCAATAGCGGATGAGCCGATGGACATGGTCAGTCCTGTGTCACACGGTGACTCATGGACCCTCCACACAAGATGCGAGTCGGGCAACGCTCTGGTCGAGAGCCAGGCCTGGGCCAAGCTCTCCTGATTTATTTTTTTATAATAAAATTAAACCCTACTTTGGCTGTTGCCTGGACTCTGCAGAGGTGAAGTTCCCCCCTAACGAGGGGCCCGAGGAAGCCTTTTTCCCTGAGCCCAGCTGCAGACCTGGACAATTCTTTCCAGGAGCGAGAGGCGTGAGATCATCGTGGGCAGGATGGGACAGGGTTGTGGGGATGAGTGTCCCCTGACTGGCCCGGCCGACCCCATGCTGTCCTGGCAGCTCCCTCCGATGGAGGTGCCCAGCGCCCAGGGCGGGAGCTCGAGGTTGTTGAAGTAACGGGCCTGCTTCTCTCCACAGCTGCTGGCTGTCCCTCCAGAGTGGCGCCATCTGGGCCTTCGTGGCCCCCGCCCTGCTGGTCATTGTGGTAGGTCCCTGCCCTCGGGTGGGAGGGGCAGGAGGGGCGGGAGGGGTGACAGGAGCTGGAGGAGCTCAGCAGAGAGGGGCCTGGTCCCTGAGATGGTCCTGTTTGGTGAGCAGGGCTCCTGTCCCCTCGTAGGAGCATGGCCTAGGCTCTCACTTCCCCAGACCATACGCAGGGAGATGGGGCCCCTGTTCAGGTTTCCAGCGGAAGCCGCAGCCCCGGCCACAGCCCCGGCCACAGGGCTCCCTCTGCCCTCAGCTCCTCCTGTCTCCCGGAGCCCTGTCCAAGGCGCCTGCCGCCCTGTCTGTCTGTCCAGTTGCTGGCCCTGGGTGGTGCCTGGGTGTTTTCTGTCTTTGTCACCGATGGTCACAATCTCATCCCCTCGTCACCTCTTCGAGTGGAGGGGCTCCGGGCGGGGACAGGGACGGGGCGGTGGCCTGAGCACCGTCCTTCGTGTCAGTGCAGAGCTGAGCAGTGTCCTTCAGGTGATCCCGCTCGGCTGTGGGGACGTGTTATGGAGCTTTCTGATCCAGGGCTGTCCCCGTCCCCAGGGCTGCACGAGGCTCATCTGCAGCCACTTTGTCACGGGCCTTTTCAGGATTCCGGGGGCTTCCATCGCAGATCCTGGGCCCCCTCCCTCTGCTCTCGGGGGTCCGGGCGAGTCCTCACTTCTCCAACCAGAATGGAGGAGATTTCTGCCCCAACATCCGTCTCCTTCAATACTTCAACGCTTGGCCATCAGGAGGGAGATTTCTAGGGAAAATAGTGACAAGGTTAGAGGGGGAACGTCTGTAAGTCCCGCGTCTCTGGTTCTCCCCCTGTTCCCGGCTCGACCTTCCAGATGTGCAGGCCCCGGGCAGGGTCGGCCGGACCCAGATATTTCTGGGTGACCTGAGTTTTCCTCGGACGTTGGTCAGTCTGGAGGCCACCTGCCCAGGTGCGTGGGGACCAGCAACAGGAGCCCCGTGTCCCCGTGTCCTCCAGGCCTGCTGGAGCCCTGCTGTCACTCCTGAGGGAGCGCGACCTCCAGGCCCCACGCCCAGCCCGCTCCTCAAGGTCAACATGCAGCCGGCTTGAGCCCACACTGCTCTCGGGGGAAACCAGAGAGCGTGGGGCAGTGGGAAGGGAGATGTCCAGCTGATGAAATACCCGGGATTCGCGTCCTTTACACCCCACCCCGGGTCTCTTCCGATTGGCGGCCAGGCACAAGCCGGGCAGGGACATGAGGCGAGGGGCCAGGCCTGCTCCGGCTGCGAGTGTCCGTGAGACGCCCGATCGGCCTCACGCGCAGGCACCGTCTCCCCCTTAATTGTCGCTGACGGGGGGATGGGAGGTCGGCTGTGCCTCCTCGTAAGGCCACAGCTAACGAGGAAGTGTGCACGCGAGTAAAACCAGACAGGCCTGGGCTGAGAGGGAGGGAAAAATAAATAAACCCCCGCAAGAGCTTAGGAGAGATGGGAACGGTGATGAATTGTAACAGCCGATAATGGGAGCTGCGTAAGCATTATTCAAGCTCTTTCTTCTGAGTCTCAGGGAGGCCAGCGAGGAGCAGAGGAACCTAATTAATCACTCATAGCTTTATTACGTTTGTGAAACACTTTGCCACAAGTGACCATCCATCCAGTGGCCGCGTCGTGGTCGGTAAACAGCGTCTGTGAATCCGGGACGTCCGGCCGAGAGGCCGGGGCCGGAATACACTCCGCACGCGCAGCAGAGGGCGCTGTGAGGAGACCGCCGGGCTCCGTGGGTGGTGGCGCCTCCCCCAGAGGCTGCCGGGCGCCCCTCTCCCTGGTCTCGGGCTCCACGGTCCCCCCTCCCCTCCCCGGAATCACTGGGGTCTCCTCCCCTGAGCCCGAGGACACTCCTGTGACTTTCACAGAGAGAAGGGTTTCTGTTATTTCTCTTTTAATTTATAATTTTTCAAAATTGCTGGGCACCGCCGTGAATTCAGGCCAGACCTCCCAGCAGAGGGAAAGGGGGTGGGGCTGTCACCCCCTCCCGTCACCCTCTGCTCCCACCCAGCCTCTCGTTCAGGACCCTGGAGAGCTGCCCGCGGGGAGACGGGTTATTGGGGTCCCCTGCCCAGCCCCACGGACCCCAAGGGGAGCCTCCCAGCGGGTTCCCAGTCAGAAGGGGGCCCCCACAGGTCACATAGCTGCAGGCCGGGTGGGGCACCAGGTGAGCCGGGAAGCGTCCCGGGGCCTTGGCTTACCCGTCCTCTCCGTGGTCCCCTTGCACTGGCGACACTGCTCTTTGTCATCACCAGATGGGGAAACGGGTTCAGAGGACATACGTAAGTTCCCCAGGGTGACACGGCGAGCCAGCGTTCAGGGAGGCCTGCACCCCGGGGCTCTGCCCGCTGTGCTCCCGGGACCAGAACGGGCGTGCTTGGCTCTTTCCTCCAGTACCCAGGGACATGGGGGACACCTCTCCAGAGTGTCCGCGGGCCTGGTTGGGGGACGGCAGCACCAGGCGGAGCCAGGTGTTCGGCAGGTGCCACCCCAGCCCTCACCTTCCTTCCTGCGTCCCCCCCGCCCCGCAGGTCAACATCGGCATCCTCATTGCCGTGACCAGGGTCATTTCCCAGATCAGCGCCGACAACTACAAGGTCCACGGAGACCCCAGCGCCTTCAAGTAAGCGGCCCCTGGGCCTCCCGGGTGCCCCACCCACAGAGGGCGGCTCTGGGCAGCAGGAGGGCGGGTCACTGCCTGGCTCTGGGTGGTCAGCCCCCCCCAAAACCACGGGCCAGGACGTGGGGGGGCCCTCCCAGGAAATTGGGGGCTGCTGTAGGAAGCAGGGCTGGGGCGCTGGGTGGCTGGCATTGCCTGAGTGGCTCTAGCTACAATGTATCGTTTCTGATCTGAGGGGAAACAGTAAACATGTGGACAGAAAATCGATGGCAGTGATTCTGTGATGAATCCCAGACCCTGAGGGTTAAAGTGACAGGTGGCTGCCGCCTCCCGGGCTTTTCAGCCTCTGGAAACCTCGGAGGGTGGTGCCCTGGGGCAGAAGAGATGCCCCCGGGTCAGGAAGGAGCCCCCCCCCCACTCCAACCTTGTCCCCAAGGCCTTCCCTGGGCCTGTGCTCATTCCCCGTCTGAGCCTGGCACCCTGGGGTGTCTGAGCCTGTCCCCACACAACCATGTGCTCGCCCCACACCTGGGCTCCCCCCAACGGGTGCCCCCCACACCTGGGCTCATCCCACATCTGATCTCCCGTCGGAAGCCGGGCTCCCGGAGGCCAGTCCCCGGCCCCACCCGGCCTGCCTGCCCGGGGCAACCACCGCCCTTTCCCGCCAGGCTGACCGCGAAGGCTGTGGCCGTGCTGCTCCCCATCCTGGGCACCTCGTGGGTCTTCGGCGTGCTGGCCGTCAACAACCAGGCCGTGGCCTTCCAGTACATGTTCGCCATTCTCAACTCCCTGCAGGTGGGCACCCAGGGGCCCTCGGGTGGGCGAGTTGGCCGCCCGCTTTGGGAGTGGGCACGTGAGGAGCGGCTGCCACGGGCCAGAGGAGGCCCTCCCTCTGTTCCACGCACACACCTGTGAGCCCGTAGCTTGGGGTGTCCCTGAGGCCCGAGGGTGGGGCATCATGGAGCACATCCGGGTCTCTGAGTGGTCAGGCTCTGCAGGGTCCTGTGGCCAGTTCACGTGGCCAGTACCTGTGGGAGGACCATCAGCACGTGGGCGGCTCCTGAGAGGAAGCTGGACACAGACGGGGGGTCATGGGGGACCTCAAGGTGTGAGTTCCCATTTGTCCCCTGCACGGAGGGGCAGGGAGGGGTCACAGCCTGGAAACCAGAAACGTGGGGTGCCCAGGGCCCGGTCATAGCGGCTCCCTGCCTCCAGGTCACGTGACCGTGGGTCCAGGATGCCCCCCCTCCTCACAGGCTGCAGGGCAGCCCCGCTTTTTCTGGGCTCCCCAGCAGCAAGCCGGGCCAGGGCTTTTCTCCGAGCCAAGCCCGTGTGCGGCCTGGCGAGGAGCCTTCGGGAGGAGGGTCTGACTGTCCCCTCCCCTCCCCAGGGCTTCTTCATCTTTCTCTTCCACTGTCTCCTGAATTCAGAGGTGAGTCTCCCCCACCCCCAGACCCCGCCCTCACCGTGTCTGGTCTCGGGGCCTTGCATCAGCCCCGGTGCCCAGAGACCTTCACTGTGAGCTCTGACTGTGCCCCTGTCAACCTGTGACGTCGTTTCTGACGAGCCCGTTCTGCCCTTGAAGGTCAGAGCCGCCTTCAAGCATAAAACCAAGGTCTGGTCCCTCACGAGCAGCTCCAGCCGCAACGCCAACGTGAAGCCCTTCGGCTCCGACGTGGTGAGTGGAATGGTGACCCCCACTGACCCCCGAGTGCCCGCATCCCTGACCCCCACTGGCCCCCCACTGGCCCCAGGGCACCACCCTCACCGGTACCTGGAAAGTGGCCTGTCAGCCGGCCATGGAGTCACTTGCCAGCTTCTCTGAGCCACACGCACCCTCTGCCTGACCAAGGACTGCCTGGCTGAGGCTCTCGGTCTCCTAACCCCGAGCCTCCAGCCCCCCAGCCCTCCCATCCCTCCTCCCTGGGCTCCGTAGGCAGCAGGGGAGGTGCTGTCGTTCTTGCTCAGCCCCTCACGGCCGACCTTGGCCTGTAGGGCCCACGCCCTGGGCCGATGTTACACCCACATCCAGTCCTCTGCTCTGGATGGATACAAGGGCAGATGGATAGACGGATGGATGGAGGGATGGAGGGAGGGATGATGGATGGGTGGATGAATGGTGCAGGACTGACTGAGTGCACCCCAGAACCTGGAGGGGCTGAGGAAGGTGGGAGAAGGGCACCCTTTCCAGCTCAAGATCCTCGTTTCTGGGGAGCAGTGGGGCCCCGAGAGGGAGGATTCTCACACAACTGCCTGGGCCAAGGCTCGCTCTCCACACTCACGTGGGGCTTAGGTCCCTCGCCCCGGAGCAGGGTCCCCACTCTTCTCTGTGATCTGCAGACGAACGGGACCCGGCCGGGAACAGCCTCCTCCAAGCTCAGCCCTTGGGACAAGAGCAGCCACTCTGCCCACCGCGTGGACCTGTCCCCCGTGTGAGCAGAGGCCGTGGACCGGGCTGCCTGCCACTCAGAGCACCGCCCCCCAAACACAACGCAAGACGCACTCTGCCTTTGCCACTGGGACCCTCTCCTCATTGCCATCTGGCCGTGGGGTCCCCGTGACAGTTGTCCCCTGTGTGACAGAGCCCACCGCCCAGCCCGATGCCCGGTGCACAGCCGCGGGTGGACCCCTGGCTGGAGTCCCCCTTCGGGCTGAGTGACTGCCCTCGGGGCTCCCCCGAGCTCAGCAGTCCTGCTGCTGGGGCCTCCCCGTCATCCCTGCGAGAGCACAAGCGTCGGACCTGTGACTCTGAGCACACGGGACCCGGGACCACAGCACCAGGAGGGGCGGCTTCGCGGCTGCTGCAGGTTGGGGACGCGGGACCACAGGGGCTGGTTCCTGCGGGGGGCTAAGGTCTCCACGAGCCCCCAGATGGTCAAGCCGAGGCAGATGGGGGCACGTGGCAAAGAGTGTGAGGAGCGTGTCGACCCGCTGAATCCACCCAACAACCAGCACCCTGAAGCCAGGCTCCAGCCCCAGAGCCGCCAGTTCTGCGCGGTCGGTGCTGGGCCTCCGCGGATGCCCAGGGCTCTGGGCTGAGTCGCCGGCTGCTGGACCGTGTCCCGCGGGGCCTGGAGGCCACGACTGCTGGGGGAGCCCCTGAGCCTGCCCCTCACGCTTCAGACTCAGTGTCGGCCTCACACACCCCCTTCCAGCACCTGAGCCTTCCCTTGTTCAGGGTGGACGGCCCACCAGGGCCCCCCCGGATGTTTTCCGAGGCCTGACTTCCCCTCCTCATTTATAAATGCGCTTTTTTTGCGTCTAACGAGCTGGCCGCCGTGGAGGGTGGCACATTGCACTGTTTCACGTTGCTGCAAAGGCCGCCTGCTGCCCGTGGCCCGCGTGGCAGGTGGCTGGGGGTGCCCATCGCTCTGTCTTCTGAGTTTATGTGAATTTGTGGACTCAGCCCTTAGGCCACAGAATTGTGGTCACAGCTCTGCGTGTGGTCAGGCTCCCGCTGGACGCTGGGGTTCGACACCACACATGTGGACCAGACGCCACCGAAGGATCTGGAAAGAGGCCACGAGGGATCATACTGTGACGACGGGGCCGATGGCGCCCGTGGGATGCGCGTGTGGGGACTCAGACCTGCTGTCGCTACTGGAGACTCTTCCTTTTAACACTGTGACCGTGGACATGGCCAGGCCCCTTCCCCTCGCCCACACATCCGCTTTTCATGTCGTTCTGTGGGCCCTTCCCATCCTCTGGCACCGTCTTAATGTCACTCGCCCCAGGCACGGTGTGTGTGGCCTCACCACAGGCATCCCCGCCGTGGGAGGGGTCACGCGGAGGCCCACGTCCACGGGGGGGGGAGGCTGATCCTCGTCCAGGTGCGATCCCAGGTGCGCGGGTCGCCCAGCAGGTCGTGGCCACACCCCCATGGATGTGCCAGCCCCGCCCGGGCTTCTGGTGGCTCAGAAACAGACCCCTCCACACCCGTGGGCTCCCAGAAGTGAGAACACTGTGCTCCGAGGACTTCCCCTTGGGTTTTTTCCTCCCATAGTTCCCCATGAAGCAAATCAAGTCAGAACTGTCTTTTTTTTACATATGTTTTCATCAATTTCAGAGAGAGGAAGGGAGAGGAAGAGAGAAACATCCATGATGAGAGTCCTGGATCCGCTGCCTCCCACATGGCCCCCACCGGGGGTCAAGCCCACAGCCTGGGCCTGTGCCCTGACCGGGGATTGAACCGCGACCTCCTGGTTCACGGGTCAGCGCTCAGCCGCGGATCGGCGCCGGCCGGGCCTGTTGTAGGTGGAGCCCTGCGTGTCTCCGCATAGTCACTCTCGTAGCTGATACACCGAGACCAGGGAGCAGACCCCGACCCCTGACGGATGAACCGTGCCCTTTGCTTACGTGCCCTACAGTCCGGCTTCCACAGCATTTTATCATCTGCCTGTAATTTGGCCAAAGATACCCTCGGGAAGAGCTGCGTGTTTAAAGCAGCTGACCGCACAGGACCGACGACGAATGCCGCGCAGTAGTGAAAACGTGTTGTGATTTTTATGCAATAAAACCTTCATGTCCTTAAAATCGACTGTGGTTTGACGTCCTTGGTTCGTGGGAGGTGAGCAGGACCGTGAGTCTCTCCACCAGAATCCACAGAGAAGCCCACGTGGGTCAGATCCGACCCGGGACTCGCGCTCCGGACGCCTACTGAGCCCCCGCCCGCTGAGGGCCCGCCGACACCATGCCCACGGCGCCCCTCATCTGCTCCCTTGGGGGCCCCCCGGGGTGGGCACCGCCCACGGCCCGTCCGGAAGGACAGGGGGCGGAGAGCAGCCCGTGTCCCGGGTCACTGTTCTGCAAAGTGGACGGTGCGTCTGCCCGGCGGCTGGAGGGTCCCACACCGCCCTCCCAGCCCTGCCGTCCGCCTGCTCGTGTGTCCTCGTGTCTGGGGATGAGCCACGTGGCCGGACGTCCTATCCGCTGTGTCCGTCTTTACACTGAAGGGCTCCCCGGATTCTTTCCCCTATTTCTACGTATTTTATTTCTACATAATTATAATTGTGATGTGTATACATGAGGCATTCCATGATTTATATTTTACAAAAACCTGTTTTACAATGTGACTTCTAGGCTTCTGTCTTACATACACCACATATAATGTATATTTTATTGACGTGTTTTAATATATATCTATATGAGGTGGGTTGATCGATAGATACTGATTTTTTATGTCTTCCTGCTTTTTTTTTCTTTCATTGATTATTTTCCGATTAAAATGTCAAAAGTGGGTTTCTGCTTCAAAAAGAGCAAATCCTTCCACGAGCCATGGGACTTTTTGCCACGGTGGTTGCCGGGTCCGTTCTCTCCGCGATGAGAGTTTGCGGGTCTTCTCGCTCTTCAAAAACTTCACCAGCAGAGTGTTGTCGGTGTTTTTATCACCAAGTTAACGTGTGAAACCGTCCTAACCTGCCGTTCTGTGATCCCCGCGCCCGTGACAGCTTCCCTGGCCTCTCCTGTGGACGCTGGTATGATACGGGGCGGCTGCCCGGCCACCGCTGGCCCCCAGGACGGCTGCGGGCAGGATGGAGGGAGCCGGGGCCCCTGGCTGCAGGCGGGGCTGGTTTGTGGACGGCTCTGGAGCGGCCGCTGGGGAAAGTTTCCTCGTTTCCCGGAGCCGGAGCAGGTTTCTGTCTTTCACAGCTGGGCTCCTAGTGTCCCCTGAACGGTGGGCAGGTCCCCTGTGCCACGTGCCAGCTGCCACGTGCCGGGGGCCGGGGGAGGGGCTGGGGGACACCCTCCTGGGAGCACCCCAGCTGCCCCGCCCTGGCGTGTCCCCTCGATGCTGTGTTGCCGTCTCCGCACCCTAACGGGCAGCCTTAGCCAAGATTTAATCAAGAAGAGTAATAGGCCTAATGGAGGCTGTCCGATGAATGGCGCAGTGGCCTGACCCCTGGGTGCCCTCTCGCTGTGCACGTAATTGCTGTGCTGGAACCTTCTCCGCTCCTATTAGTTTAAAAGCTGTGCTTGTCAGTCAGATTTCGGAAGCGCTGTCCCTGGGTTTACCGATCTCCGGGCTCTGAGAGACTTTTCCTCACGAGTGTATCAACTTTCCTCTCCCGGGTCGGTCCTGGGGGGGGCGGTGCTGGGTGCTCAGCCCCAGCCAGGGGCCGGGTCGCTGCCGCAGGCTCGACCGTGTGGGACAGGAGACCTCGCCCGTCCCCCAGCAGCCGCTCGCCGCGGGCCTCGCACGCGGCAGGGAACGTTCCAGACTCCACGCTGTGCGGGGAGAGTCCCCCAGCCACGGACACGTGACCCCAGGCGTGTGTTCTGAAAACAAGGCCTCGGGCAGTGTGATGGACGGTGTGTGTGTGCACGTGTGCAAACGTGGCTGTGTTACCGTGTGTGTGCACATGTAAGTACACAGGCGTGTGTGGGCGAGTGCGTGCACACTTTCTAATTTGGAATGAACGGTCAGGAAAAGCCGGCCTGAGAGCTGGCCGTTTAAGCTGAGGTCTTGGGGCAAAGGCTCCAGGGAGAAGGGGCAACGGAGTGGAGGAGCTGAGGGCACACGGGTGTTGGGTGGAGAGAGGCCCACAGCAGGTGACGGGTGAGGAGACGGGCCAGGTCCGCAGGGGCTGCGAGCTGGAGTCAGGGGTTAGAGCTTTATTTTAATTCCAATTAGAAGCCTGGGGGGTTGGAAAACACCTGCGCTGAGGTGTAATGACGCCCGGTCACCCGCACACGTGTAACGCGGGTAAGCTGACGCGTGGGCGTGTGCTCACCTGTGCATCATCACGCTGATGGACCCGCCTCAGGCCGGGGCCTCGCGCTCACTGGCCCTCTGCTCTCATTTAAGTTCGTGAAGCCAGCCTGAGGCTGTGGGCTTGGAGCTCGCCACCTGGGGCCCTGATTCCAGGGGAGAGGACCCAGCACCTCAGCCCAGAACCCTAACCACCCCCGTTCCTCACGAAGGGCTTCAGTGCTCGCGGCCACATGGACTCTGACCCACCTGAACTGAAGGGCAGTGAGTAGGGGTCGTGGTCACAGGGATGGGTGCCTGAGCCCCACACACCCCTGCATCTCAGGCCCCAGCCAGGAGGGGTCAAGGCCGAGGCCGGGGAGGACCTCATATGAGGAGCCCCAGGAGAGGACCCCTGAGGGAAGACCTAATACGTGTTTGAAATGGCCTCTGGGAAGCGTCACACCTCAGGCCTTGGCCCTCCCTGCAGTCTGCCTTGGAGTCTGCATGGGTTCGAGGGCCCCTGGCCTCTGCAGCTGCGCCCAGCCTGAGAGCCCCAGGCCTGGCCTCGGACCTGCTCCCTGCAGTTCAAATTCTAAACAAGGAGACAGGCCTGAGCCTCATCCCTTGGCCGGCTGCTGTGTTTGGCTCTTAGTTACAGGGCTATTCTGGGACTTGTCCATGCATTTCCATGCATTTATCTAAGTGAAAGTGAGCCATTATTTTAAAGCACTTTATTTTTTAGAGGTTTCAGGTTCTCAGCAAGTTGAGGGGACCGCGTAGAGATTTCCCACACACCCCCTTCCCCACCCCCATAGCTACCCCTCTACCCCACCAGATGGTGCCTTTGTCACAACCAATGATCCTACACGGACTTTTTAAGTCAAATTATTTGTGTTTGGCGTTGAGTTGTATGAGTTCCTTATACATTTGGGGCATTAATCCCCTAGAAAATGTGCCTACAATGGGTTAAATACGAATGAGCGTGATTGCTGGGTCATGTGGTAAGAATATGGTTGGTCTTGTGAGAAACCACCAAGCTGTCTTCTAACCGTGGCTGCGCCATGTTGCGTTCCCACCAGGTGAGCACAGCAGGGCCCTCCTCCCCTCCCACCCAGGACTAGCTCGTCCCTGAGATCCACACGGCAACTGTAACCAGGGGAACCACTGTTACTGTAAATCAGTCTGAAATAGAACGGGAAGCAATAGATCAGGCACGTTGAAGGGCCTTTGTCCGTGGGGCTGGGGCTGGGGAGGAAGGACCTCGGGGCCGGGGACGAGACAGCCGCTCTAGTACCCAGCACACGCAGCAGCTCTGCCTCCGCGGGCCCTTCATTGTCTCCGATTTGGGCTTTGTTTAATGGCTCCAGGTCCTCCCTGGGTTCCCAAGGAGTCAAAAAAAACACAATTAACCAAAAGAGAAGATGCTACTGTTACCATGAGAACATTTAAAGAGTGTGGGGAATGAACAGCTTAAAATCTACTCATGTTAAAATGGAACAAACACTTTACATTCCGCATCCATTTCTGTGGTCAGATTTTTGTGGTTTCTATGGCAACATGGAGCACTTGTGCACAATGCAGCCCCCTCCCCGGTTGGTGTCCCTGTTTTCCCAGCTCTGGACACCTCCACCCACAGCCCGGCAGGCCGTCCTCTGAGTTCAGAGAGGCCTGTCCCTTTGTTGGCTGTTTCCCAAGAGCCTTTAGCTCCAAACAATAAATATACCAAATATTTGAGGTGGGATTCACTCCTCCCCTCCCAAGGTGGGAGATCTGGTCTGAACTAGGTTCCCAGGCAGGAAAGGGTCCTGGGCTGAAACTGGAGGACTTGGGTGTGAGTCTGTCTCCAGGATCTGGGTTTGAGAAGGACACA